GCGGCCTTCCTCCCCTAGTGCGAAATAAACCTAGTTACAAAGAAGCTAATTACAACAGGCAAAATCCTCCCGGGCCAGCGAGGATCCCGGGAGAAGCAGCACCCACCGACATGGGCGACTCCTTTCCTCACCCTGCCCTTGGATTTGGCTCCATCCCGAGTCACCTCTGCAGCTCGGCCACGTTCTGGCCTTTTAAAAACATACACCAACGCTTTTTTTTGTTTGTTTGGGGGTTTTTTTGCAAGTCAGGAAACTCCCCAGAGGAAGTTCTGAGTCCAGAGTGCACAGTGAACAGGCAGACTAGCTGTGGCTGTACTCCTCTAGTGGAGAAATCACTCCGGATTTACCACTGGTTTGTTTACACTCCGTATCTGATCCGTAAAGGTCCTAAAACCAGACTTGAGCCCATCTTAGAAATGTGCTCCAGCTGATTTGGCCATCCTCACAAAGATGAACGGCTTTCAAAACAGGCAGATCGGGGCCAAATTTTGTCTGTCTTGTCTTAGCTGGGATAGCGAGGCAACTCTCAAATGCTGGAGACATAAAAATGAGGTGGCTAAGCTCTAAAAGGGAAAGAAAACCCAAAAAACTTCATAATTTCTTTTAACATATATAAACAGAAGGGGAAAAAAAAGTAATTAATTGAGAACCAGTGTTACTGGTGTGCTCACAAAGGGTCAGGGAGGTATTTTGGAAAGGGCTGAAGCATTACAAAGGTCAGGGCAGCTCAGGTCTGCAAGCACAGCACTGCCCCTGACCGCCGCGTTCGCTGGGTCAGGACAAACACAGCGTGTCAACCGCCGGCCTGAACTGAAAACGAATCCTTCCAGATTTATTTATTCCTACTAAAACAAAAATCCTGTTAAACGGTACGTAACTCTGTGTCTCTACAAACTCACAGCTATCTGCCAAACAATAAAAATTCCAAACTACAAAAGATGAGTTGTATTCAGTAAATATAAATGGGAAATTTAGGCTTTGTGTAGAATGTTTATCAGACTATTTACAGTGCAACACACATCGTTTGAGTTCAGATCTCGCCAGCTTCTCTCTCTTCTGATCTCTTGGAACGAGATTTGCCATTTGTGCTCTCGTGCCGTCTCTCAGAAGAGCTCTTCTCTTTTCTCTCTCTGTCTCGGGACTTTTCTCTTGAAGATCGATCTCTAGAAGATCTGAAGTACAAAGTAAACCGTCGCTATAAAGCTTCACAACTAAAAGAATTTTCAAATATGCAGAAAATGACACCACCTTTCCCTAACAGGGCTGTGAGATAACACAAGTTTCTTACAGAAATGTGCCTAAGTACTGTGATGTTGGGAGTGGTGTCCCCCAAGACAGCAACTCGGGTCCCTCTCTGAGCTTTATGTAAGAGAACGGCAGTTTGCAGCGCTGAGCGCACGGCACGGCCTTTGTTGCTCTCTCCTTAGAGTGATCCTTTCAAGCTGCTGCCACAGGGGCTCTCTCAGATCTTCCCTGGGCCCCTTATTAAGTTTACTGGGTCACCCTACAGCACCTGCAATTTCTTCCTCGTCTATCACTCGGCTCTGTTTGTATTTTCTAGAGCGGTTTTTCATCATGCTCTAAGCCAGCGGCTTTCTGCTCGACTGCTTTAAATACCAACTGTATTCTTTGGACTCAAACGCTTGCTCAGCCCTGGGCTTTTGCTGCTTTGCACCCTGAGAAGCGTTGTCCTTGGCAGCATCCTGGGTTCAAAGTCAGGATGATACAGATTTATATTCACAGCCCACAAGACGGGTAAATCTTTTCACAGCCTGCCCAAATGACAGCGACAGATTTTCAGCAGCGCTTCGCTCTACCAGCCCACGCAGAATTAAGCAGAGGGCTTCATGCTGGGTCCTATCTGAAAAGGCTGTTTTCCTGGGCGAGTCACGCCAGGAATTCATGCTGTCCACCAGCAGCCTTCAAAGGGGGCTGATCCTGAGGGAGCTCCAGCACCTGAACCCCTTCAGAACTAGGCAGAGGCTTTGACAGACCCAGCACATCTTACTCTAGGACTCTGTACACAGGATTTTCATTAAAGTCACAAGAAGAGGACCTGGCAGGTCCCTCAGAGGTTTCAGCTTCCATTCATGCCAACTGTAAGGTTTGGAAATACTGCACAATTGACATATTAAAACCTTACAGCCTTTCAGATCACAGATGCCATTTAATTTTCATTAAATTGTGTCATTCAACCAGAAGACAACATCAGTCTGTCTGACGAGATTAACTCTGTTCCCGTTTCCACAGCGATGCCTGCTGCCCACAGTCCTCCTACCCTGAGATTTCCAGATCCTGCGACAGGCTCTCCATTTCTTTATACAAGTGAGACCTCAGACCAGCAGAACCTGAACACAGGTTTCATTAACTGTCGAGGAGAAAACAGAAGCTACGCTTTCAGGGAACAGGGTTTTTCTGTTTGTTCTCTTGATTTTGTTTTATTTTTCTCAAACTGATCCTGGTCTCTCCCCAGTTCTTGGTAATTTTGTGAGGGTATGTCAGCTAGCCAATCCCCCTACCATCTCGATGGGCTGATTGAATGTGTTCAAGGTTTTCGAAGTAATCCCTTACCTGCTCTTTAGTAATAGTTATTACAGGGTCTTCCTCACTTCCTAATTGTCCAAACTTCTTTTCTTTATTTTTCATGTTCAAGACAGATTTAAAAAAGGACTTTAGTATCTCAGCCATGGGAGAATCAACAGTATTTACACCCCCCCCTCAATTATTAACAGACTTATTTTTTCAGACCATCATTTCCCTCCCCTTCACCAGGCATCTTTGTAAAACTTGTTCTTACCCCTTAGCTAAGCTCAATATGACACAAGACACACAACAGTAGGTTTGTTTCTAGAATAGTACTCAAGTGGTGAGACAGTGCTAAAGCACTCTCCTATTAATTAGGAGCATTTAAGAAAAGCCAGATCTAACTTCAGCAAGCACCTGGTGAGAGACTTGCTCCCAGGCCTCAAAGAGCTGTAAGGAAACACAATGATTCCTTTACATTTTTCAAATACTCCCACATATGCTTGCTTCATCCTTCCTCCAACACAGTGGGTGTTTTACTGAGTTTGAGAAGAGACATAAAGCCCTTCTTCAGACTGCAGTGCTTCTCCTGAGCGACAGGAGAATGGTCTACTTCTCCTCCTGGTTGCTTCTTCCCCTCCCTCTAGTGCAGATTCCTAAAGAACTCTCTCTCTCTTTCTCAACCAGCCACCTTCTTACCATAACAGAAGGTTTCCCCCAGGCCCCAAACCGTACATTTCTTCACCCATACCAGCACTGAGAGAAAAACTGGGAAGCAGAAGGTAACCATAGAAATGGAACATCAAAGCTGCCTGTCACTTACTTGGCTTGTACAGGCCTGGGGAGGCTCAGTTAGCTCAAGCAGGCCTTTCTGCTGCTGCTTAGACAAGAAAACCAGCAGCTTCTCAAGGCTCAGCACTGCAAATCAGGAAACCAGTTCTATCTCCTAGACTCTCCTCTCAAGCTGGGATCTCGCTGTACAGTCACTGCCCTACTGCTCTCATGTGAGACCATCTACAAAGGGCCAGTGGGAAATCCAGCTTTGGCCCAGGAGCTGGTACAGGACACTGAGCTGCTAACTCGAGACACCTGTCGTATCCTGCTCACCCTAAGGGACTGGGGAGGCTCACTGGGATGCTGAGGACACCCCTTTCCAGAAGCACTTGTGTCAGGAATACATACTTGTGTTTTGAACTCCTGTCTCTGGACCCCCGGCGGTGACCCCTGCTGTGGCTGCGGGAACGGCTCCGGTGGCGTCTGTGTCGATCTCGGGACCTGGAGCGAGACTTCCGCCGCTCACGGGAAGCTGATCTCGAGCGTCTTCGCCTCCTCTCCCGAGACCGTGATCTGAAGAGGACACAGACTGCCTCAGACTCAGGATATGGGCTGGTACATCAGATCTGTATACCTGAGCCCATCTCTCAGACATTCCTGAGTAACAAATATCCAGAGCTTCAGCACTCATCCCCCAGCTGCATCGTGAGCAGCAGAGAAGGCAGATCACCCACAGGGTGGGCATCTCCCTCCTGGACCTCAACAAAATGCCAATGGGTAAATTTTCTGGGAAGCTTAGATAAAAAGCTCCCCCCATTAATGTCAGCACGTGCTGATGCCTAGAGCAGAGCTTACCGACCAAGCCTCACTCAAAAAGTGAGGCCTCTATCAGTAGAAGAGAGGCCAAAGTAAGTGGCATGTGAAAGTACCATAACCCAAATGGCAGTCTGCCAAGAGACCCTTCTTTGTGAAAGTCCTGCAGTTTAGAAGCAGATTTGTTTCAATCTGCTGTAAAAACAAAACCAAGGATGCCAATGTATATGGACAGCAGTAGAGAGGAAGATCTCCAGGTAGATGATCACTGAGAGAAGGCTGTCAAGCTCTTCACAGAGATGTGGGGGCCCTGAGCTTGAATCTCTGTCTTTTTACATCTGAGGTACTACATATTTAACAGATTTAACATTTCAGACATTAGAATTATGAAAGTATATTAGATATTATTGAAAAAGGCATCAAGGACTTTCTTAGACTCGTACTCAGGAGCACACAGCACCCTCTGCTCTGACCAGGCTAGCCAGCAGTCGCCTTCTGTCCCAGTGGGGGACACTAAGCTGCACAGCAGCGCTGAAGTGCCCAAGAAGTCACTCACATTTCTTTCAGGGAGCAAAACAAAGAGGCTGGGGCACTGAGCAAACTCCCTTTGTGGGACCCAGGAAAAACCTGGGTAGCCAGACAGAAACAGGGAGAACTGTAGAAGAACTGCGCACTCACCTTCGACGATCTCTATTTCTTGATCCAGACCTAGAAAGGAGAGTGAAGTGAGAGGAGGCAGGATACAGCCAGTGGGTTTTCAATAGAACAACCCATTCATGCTGGCAGCTCTTCACAGGAACAGCAACAACCAAGTAACACGTCAGTTAAAATAAAAGATTGTCATTAAAACATTTAATTAGCTTCAATTTTAGGGGGCAGGGAGAATTTGTCAAAAACTGAAGAACTTTGTAGAAACACTAATTGCTACACGCAGAGCTTCCTGTCAGAACAGAAAAGGTCAACAACTAATTCAGCCTCTGCTAATAAAGCACCACGACAAACCTTTCTGACTTGTAATTAGCTGTGTATATTTGATATATACTCCCTTTTTCTCTACAGCCACGTTTCAAAGCCCAAACTCCACACACGTTGTCTGAATGGTGTGTTTTTGCTTAAACTGAGAATCAGCCAGTCTCCTTGTTTAGTGACTTAGAGACTCACACTCGTAACTGCTCCTGTCTCCCCACTCCACACAGACTCACAGTGGGTGTTCGGTTACACGGCCACAGAGCTGTTCTGCCGTCCTAACGGGAGATGTGCCTCAAAGTTACACACAGACAAAATGTTTAAATGCAACAGAAAAGCATCTATTTTAACAGTATCATTTAAAAATCACACCTGGGTAAGATAAAATGAAGAGAATCAATGTGCACTGGCATTCCTTCACAATGAAATGTGATTGTTCAATCATGGTAGGGAAAAAAAACCCAACCCAAATTTAGAAAGGAATTCAGGTAGAAGGACTGTAAACAAGGTGGAGCTCAGGCAAGGCTGGAGTCAGGCAATGAACCATGTGCTGAGGCAACACACAAGACAACCACATGAAGGAGAAGCTGATAAACCAGGAGAGCGAGGCAATAACCACACACCTCCTTTTTCATAGGACAGAACCTGGCAGAACAGCAGGACCTCCCGTAGATGCCTAGCAGGCATCTGATTTTTTTTTGGTGGTTGTAATTATTCCAAGTTCCTTAATGTTCTTTTCCACCTGATCACTTTATTCTGAACCACTGGTGCACACCTCCAGACAAAGCCATTCTGCATCCCCTGAAAAGCCTGGCTGCCCTTCCACACTTACGATCTGAGCAGGAGTTTGCACAACAAACTCCTGATAATCACTCCCGAGCACTAGACTTCAGAATTCAGGAAGTATCCAACAAAACCAGCACTTTCCTTCCGAGCCTGAATCAGTACCCAGTAGGAGACAGGAGGAGACTGCTGTCCAGAGCAGTGAGAAGCTGAGTGTTTGGGTTTTTTTGTTTTGTGGATATTTTTTCCCCCTCTTTTTTGTCCTTGCATCCCAGAGGCTACGTGCTGAGTTTCATAACCTGTGTTTTGTCCAACTCATTACAAGAAAAATCCATTTGGTAACTCCACCTAGACTTGTTTGCTGGTGTACTCTGGAAGCAAATACCGAAGCGTGCACTTCCAAGCATTCCACCTCTCCACAGAATTTCAATCTTAAGAGATTACTGGGCAGCCCACAGTCCCTGGTAGCACCAAAGGACCTGTGTGTGTTTACCACTAGGGCTGACAACCCAGTTCCTCATTCCAATGTGGAAATCACAGTTTAGCTGACAAATTAGTAGTCTGTGACAGGTGGAGTTTCACAAGGCAACCAAAGGGTTTCCATACTGGTCACGGTGCCTGTAAGTCACTGAAGACTTCTGGAAGTCAAGCAGTACTTCTTCTCTTACTGAATAACATCGTGAAGATGCTGCATATGGAAATACAAGAAGATTTATGAAGGAAACTTGTTTTCTGTGGTTCTTTGAAGTATCAAGCTCTGGTTAGCAGAGTCACTGATTAGTTTTGGATGGTAAAATGCCCCTGTCAGCACGGTGTTGCCTGGCTCCCAGTGGCTAAGGTGCTGAGAAATTGAGAAATCTGGGCTCTAACCTTACAGAGTTCTGACACTGAGTGTCCACTGGGAAAACTATTTTCCTTCTTTGGGTCAAGTTCTCATTTTGTAGAGGCAAATAATTTGACCTCCTCCATAGGGTACTCCTGGCTGCTTCCTAACAAGTTTTTCTTTGGTATCTGAACAGAGGAGCATAGAGATGCCTCCATACAGAGCGAGAGCAAGGGCTGGCCACAGTCTAAGTAGTGCCAGGTATGGAACCAGCAAGAACTCAGACTGTAGTCTCAATGCAGTTCTTAAACCTTTCATATTTAAAGCATTAAGTAAGCATTCAAAAGCAGTCTTCAAACACCCTCATCAGATTCATCCACATATGGACTACCTGTGCACACAAGAGGCTCTGACAATCTTGCATGGACATGAGAAAGTTGTGAGGCTCCACATCAAGTGCTGCAGTTCAGGAAAAAGCTGCAACAAGAACTGGTGTTTCATACAACACCAGGTGATCCACAGGGAGAGAGAACCCACATAAAACACCCTGACTGGAGAACACATAACAATTTGGGGCTGACATCTTCACAATACACCAAAATCACCAAGCCCACAAAATCTGAAAGACCACAGAAACCCAAGCTGCTTCGATTCTGGCATTTCTTTGCTAGCATTTCTAGCAATGTACAACCAGAAGCCAGCACCACCTGGGAGCACACTGCAGTTAGGTTCTCTCTCATGCCTCGGATGTGGACAACTGAAACACACTCTGCAGTTTACACTGAGGGTCAAAACAAGCTTTCTACGGGCAGCAAGGTTGGGTTTTTTGACGTACAAGAGGAGAAACACAGTGAAGTAACTGAGGAAATGCTGTGACGATGAGAACAGCATTCCTACTCTGCCACGTCCTCTGCTGACCATTGGAATAACCACCCTCTCCACACCAGGTTGTTTAACTGAGCTGTTTACACACAAGATACCTGTTTGGTTCAAGTACAGAAGAAATAGTTTTCCAGTTCAGCCAGCAAGAGGCAGAAGAGCTGGTCTTGAGAATATCAACACTGCAGCCACTCCCACTGTTCACACCTATGAGCAGAAGGTGACACATACGGCCAAAACCACCAGAAGCAGTCACTCCTTGGGATCCCTCGGATCCCCTAGGAAGTGTTTTCCAAAGCTGTGCCAAAAGCACCTCACTCTTATTGTAGAAAAGTTTCTGAGCAAGACAGGCAGCCCATCATCTGGCTCATGGATACCCCAGCTCCATTCTGCTGTCACCTCCTGGCCTAGAAGTGGAGGAATGCCCAGGAAATTTTTGGATGACTAGTGCCAGACCTAGTACTCACTCATCTTGAACTTTCCCACTCAGATGCATTGGATGAGAACATTTCATCCAGATTCAGATTCCCAATGACAGGGACTAGACCAATATTAAGTGTGAAGACCACAGGGAGCTCACGTTTCAGATACACAACAGAGGTTAAATCAATAATCAGACAATAATCACTCTGAGGTGGGGGGTTTGTGCATTTGTTTACATCTTTAACTGAATGCCAAGGTGCTCACACAGCACCTGGAGCACATCCAACAACGGCTCCCACAGCAGATGCTGCTTTCCTGCAGTGCTCAGATACAAGAAATCAGACTATTTCAAAACCAACTTCACAAACCAGTTATCAGCTTTCACTTACCGCCTGCCCATTCTCTCCTCTCGCTCTCTCTCCTCTCTCCGTCTCAAACGATCCTGGTTTCTCTTCTCTTGCTTTTCTGCCACTGTTTTCTAGAAAAAAACATTCACATTGCATTTCAGTCACGTGGTAACAAGTCAGAGAGATGTGCAGGGAGAC